GTCCCGGAAAGGCCCTGCAACAGACTCCCAGGACCGGTATTGCTCTTATTCTTGAATATACATGGCTGGCCAACACAGGAGGCTGAGTGTGGGAACGCGTACTGCCATGACGACTACAGCTCCGTCAGTGCCGAACCAGGTGCTGCCGTACCTCCCTGCCTCACCTCTCCCACCAGCGCAGCCCCACCCCGCCGGGCCGGTCGCTCACCCCGGCCCCTGCCCGTCCAGAACCGGGCCCGGAGCGGGGTACGCCCCGACACGCCAGCAGCTGTTAACGCAAAGCAGACGCGTCCTGCACTCGGACCTGTACCGAACCCCGCAGCCCGGCCTACCTCATCCTCCTTGTGATTCCTGATGCCGCGTACGAGGTCCTGGAGGTTTTTATCAAACATCCTATCGATGCTCCCTTTCACCATCTTCAGAGCCATAGCTGCAGCTCCGGCTTTCTTTCTGCGGACAGAGAGAGAGCGGCGAGGTCAGGGGGGTAGGAGGACCAAGACAGGCCCGCTGGCTCGTTCACCCAGCCGAAAGAAAAGCTCCCCCAGCGGGCTGAATCTGAGCTCTGGTCCGGGAGAAAGGAGCCACGGCTCAGCTGTACGGTCCCAGGGAGTCTGGCTGCAGACCCAGGGAGAAAATGGCTGACAAAATGGCGGCGGGTCAGCTGACTGGCTGACTGCGTGTGTGCCGCGGGGGGGCTGCGGGGCCCGGCACCTCGGCGCAGTTCCGCCTCCGTCCGCTAGTGGGAGCAGCGCCCAGCCGAGTCCTAACTCAGTCCCTGTCGCTGTCTCCCGGCGGTGGGGGGGCAGTTATTTTGCGGCCGATACCAACACAACAGTACTACATAACCGTCATCATCAAATAGGTCAGGACACGCAATATTTCCAGAAATGAAGTTTTACATTATTCATGGATGAATTAAACGATTTCCTCAATATATTTTCCGCTACAGCTCTGTCGGAGAAGCGCTTCCCGGCTGGCCCAGTGGAGGGGCTGTGCCTCGCGCTCCTTAATGCCTGTGAGAGCCCTTGGCACGCAAGCTCAATACTACTACTGCTAATAATAATCACCTTTATTACATTGCACCTTTAAAAATATCTTATTTGAGTGCTTTACGGGAAAAGTAAAAAAAAAACAGTTAAAAGACGAAAACAATAACGGAAGAGAAATTGAGAAACACGAGATCCCAGCAGATGAAAGGAGCAGACACAGACATTAAATAAAAGCCTTTCTGATAACCGTGTACGTTTCAATCTTGCTGCCTGCGTTTACTGTTTTCCCCATCCTGTTATAATTAATTTAATAATATGCAATAAGCTACAGT